GGCACCAAATAAACCCTAGTGCGAAAGAGTTTTCAGAACTGTGTGTGGTTCTGGTCACTCCATTTGGACAGGTGCATTAAAGTAGAAATAGCTGCTGAGAAGGGTGACGGTAAGAAGGGAAGCCTGTTTTATTAGAGAGGAATAAAATAGCTTGGCTTTTATAGTCTTGCAAAAAAGCTGAGAAAAGGTATATTACTGGTTGTAGCTAAATGGAAAGTAAATTCCAGGGTGAAAAGCATCCATTTAAGTGAAAAGATAATGAGCACAATCAATACAAGCTAACCATTATTGTGTTTACGTTAGAAATTAAAAGATTTGGTGCTGGCAGAGAACAGGGCTTTTGGAATAGTCTTGGCTATTGGAGCAGTGCACATGAAAGCGTGACTGATTTTAAAATGAAGCTTCACCAGTTTTTGAAAGGAATTAGATGATGTGGTGGTACCTGTGGTTATCAGGGGACTAGACCCAGTGATCTGGGAGATCCTCTCGAATTGTGTGCAAAATAAGATGGATTTGTGCAGAGCATCCCTTCTTGACTGAAATCAAAAAGAACATGATTAAATTCATCATCTTTATCAGCCTTTTGGCTACAATTTGAGCATCAGTTATTGCAAGACCACACTTTCCCTGTGTTGTAAGAATACGTACAGTCCCATGCTTACTTTTAATGGTGGTCAAAGAACAGAAATTGCTGGAAGAGAGGGAAACATCAGAATATGGTCACGTGCCCTCTCTGACAGTTGAACCTGAAGCAGGTAGGTAATAGCTTTGCCACTGAGGATCACTCAAAAGGGGGAAAAACTGTTCAACTCTACGTTCACTGATTTTAATGTAGGCACCTTAATGAATGAATGTTAAGTGTCTGACAACCTGGTCCCAATTAAAGAGCACTCAGCTAGCCATTTTCAGGCATATTACTATTCCTTATGGCGTTGTGGAAGAGCTGCCACCAACTCCTCTATGAACGAGGTACAACAGAGCTAACAGGTAGACTGTGAAATCAAATTTGCCTCAGACTCTTTCCTGCTTGACAGAACATTCAGGGAAGAATTTCCACAATTCTGTGCTTGATTTAGTGCCTGGAGATATGAGAGGAAATGGGAAGCAGGTCTAATCTTTCTTTCTTTTCCTTGGCAATTTTAATTCATGAAAATACTCTCTGTGCCCCCAAATCAAAGTCTTCCTCTGCTGATCTCACTTTCTTCTCTACAGTCTTTAAACAAAACAATGTGATATTGCAATTGGCTTAGATTGAGGAGAAGCTGCTGTGCTAGCTAAAAAGTTGGCACCACACCTTCTATTCAGAATGCTGCACGTTGGTGGTGTATGTTCAGATAACCTCTAGCTACAGTTGAGTAATACCACGAATGGGGAAAACCCTAGAGAAATAGGAAAATCCCTAACTGTTTGTGCATTGTGTAAGTATATTTTACTTAGGCTCTTTGCCAAAGCAGATATGAATCAAAGATGCTCTCCGTATACGAGTAAAATGTACTATCATGTTCAGGATCTTATTTTTGCATAAAAGACACCCACGGCATTTGTGAAAGGGGAAGAAAATTTCCATTCTGGTTTTAGTGTGTTATGTTTTTCTATTGCATTCATCACTGAAAATTCCTGAAAACAAAAGATACAGAAAGTGGGAGAGGAACTTGGTTAATTTATTTGAGTTCTTCTTTGAGACAAATGGTCTCTTTTGACTATTTTGCAAAATGATTATAAAAGAAAATACCAACACCCCCCCCCCCTTGGTATTGTACAATAAAAAGAAACACTTATTAAAAAAAAAGGAATTGAGCTGTGACCAAATGCTTGCTGTAACTGGCAAGTGTTTGTGCAAATGTTTGATTATTTATGTAAACCTTTCCAACAACTCCTCACCCAGAACAAAACCAAATGCCCAAGAACGACAAAACATCTCCCTACCAGAACAAAAATCACTGATGGATATGTTTCTTTTTCCTATGGAGAAGATGAGAAAATAAATGCAAGATGGTACTGGAAAGTGCTCAGATGAATCCTACCACCTGAGTGAAAAGCAATAATTAATTAGGATAGACTAGAAGGTATAGGAGGATTTCTGCATCATCCCACAGCCCCACAGAAGTGGGTGGGGTTTTTTTTCATGTTTGTAACTTCATTTATTTACATATGATTTACATTTTTCAGGTGTCATAACAGGGGCTCCAAAGCACTGGCCTTCCTTAAGTAAACGGCTGAATCCTCTGAGTTTTGTGAGATTTTTGTTGTTTACTTCAATGGGATCTTGATTTTTTTCTAATGTATTTTTGCACCATGATTGTAACCAGAAAGGATGGTTAGAGAAGTTAGTTTAAAGATGATGTTCTAAGAAATTTTGACCGGCAACTGGGAACTCTCTCAGTTTCCCTAACCAAAATATTTTCAATAGTCTGGCTGCAAAATGGGAAGTTAAAAATACAGAAGTAAATTGCTAAATTATCACCTTCAAGATTAATTTCTTCCAGTAAGCAGTGGCTCAGCAACTAGTTGATCCAACAGTTAGGTTTTCTCACCAAGAAAGCTAGCTCCCTAACTCACTCACTCAATTTTTTGCAGTCATTTTGTATATTTGTCTATTCCACTCCCTAAGGCTATGGAGAACCTCAAGTCAAGAGACTGAATTAAAATTGTCCTTCTGCATATTCTTGCAGGATTTGATTGGAAATAATACAAAATTAGGGCTTTGAAACAGCAGTTAAAATTCCAGTAGTTTTATGAGCTGGCATGTTCCACTTTTATTGGTTTAGTGTTGTACTGAATTATTCAGAAAGCTATAGTCTTCTTTCTATTGATGAATGTGCATTGGGAGAACCAACGAACTACCAATGAAGCTTTTTTTTGGAGGGCAGAAATAATTTAACTTATTCAAATATTTCCATGAACACATTACAGCAGAAATGAGGTCACATCAGTTACATTTTTCAATCCTTCAGGGGGATTTGAGGAATTTATGAAACCACTGAAGTAGAAGTAGCCCAGTTTTAGAACAGTTATGTAAAGAAGTTTGATTTCCTTTACAGTATCATAGAATCATAGAATGGTTTGGGTTGGAAAGGACCTTTGAAGGTCATCTAGTCCAACCTCCCTGCAATGAGCAGGGACATCTTCAACTAGATCAGGTTGCTCAGAGCCCCCTCCAACCTGACTTTGAATGTTTCCAGGGATGGGGCATCTACAACCTTTCTGGGCAACCTGTGGCAGTGTTTCACCACCCTCAGTGTAAAAAATGTCTTCCTTACGTCCAATCTAAATCTACCCTCTTTTAGTTTAAAACCATTACCCCTTGTCCTGTTGCAACAGGCCCTACTTCTTTGAGTGTCAGTGTAGTATTGTGTAGAAGCAGCCAAAGTAATATCTTTAACAATGTCACAAGTAATTTTTATAATCTTCAGTCTATGAAAGTGTATGACCATCTCTGTCTTTTTATAAAAAGTGGTTTAAAATACCACCTTTTATGCATCTGCACTTTTATGAGTCATAGTGACAAACTGCCAATTGTTGAAGATGAAAACTTACCTCCAGAAGTGATTATTAAAAATAAAAGTGCCAAAAGGACAAAGGAATGAGAACTAATACAGGTTAGATACTGGTCACTGGTTTTCTAAAGGCCTTCTTTAAAAACAAGCTTATCTAGCTAAAAATTGAAAAGCCGTGATGAAGGACAGAAAACACAGTTCTCAGGTACTCTAGGCAGCTGCCACAGGGTAGCTAACATGCTGTCATTTCTCACCTGCAGCAATAATATGATTTTGCTCTACAGCTGTGTTTATGAGGAGGACAGAGTTACTTGTGGATGAAAGCCTCATGGAACACCAAGCAATAGTTATTTTATGATGTGCTAATTCTTACCCAGGCTGCAGTCTCTGTGTTTGTCTACAACTTGAGAACTTCCAAATGTCCACTGAGAGACTTTTGCTGGCTCGAAAACTTGCAGATTGTTGGCTTATTGACAAGATCCTAAAATGTTTTAAAAGGACTGAGAGCTGCCAGTCCATTTGAGAACAGAGGAGACAAGGTGGTGCCTGCTCCTTTTGTGGGTGTGACAAAAATGTGCCTGTGAATGAGACACTGATTTTAAAGGAAAGCAGAGGGGAACATATATGCCGCGTACAAAGGAATACTGGTATAAGTGCTATGTCAGAAACTTGAATGCCAGAACAGCAGAAAACAGTATTTGCTGTCTAAGTAATAGCCTTTCTTTAGAATGTCATGCATAGTAGTCAAAATAAGATTTGTTATTTTTATACTCTACAGAATTTTAGTGTGTGTTTAAGTGTTTATTTTACTGGGAAAATGGATGTAGTCTGTCTGAAAGATAGCTGGAAACTTGTTAAAATCTCAGTGTCAGGTTCACTTTGCCTCTTACAAAAATACTTTCCCACTTGAACATGGTAAGTACTGTGCCTGAGTAATTTCATTTGCAGGATTCTGAGCCAGGTAGTTCTCAGAAATAAAAAGGCAAGTCTTATTTCTAAACTTCATTTGCAATTACTGTAATACTTCCTTCCATTGGCCTAGTGTGATCTTCTAAAAATCATATAATATTCAGTAGTGTTCTAGACATCTTCCATTAAAAAAACGCTTGGTTTCTTTGCTCTGGTATGAAGCAGTCCATTGTAAAGTTTGACAAAACAATAAATAAGCTCTTGGTCAATGTGAATGGCAGTACCTGATAAAATGAGGTCTGTATTTGATGGAACTGTTACACTTGTTATAACAATTACATCTTAGTAAAATACCTGAAAATGAGGATAATGCTGATCTTGTGTCCCCATACGTATCAGGCTGTCATATGCAGTAGTGATGTGCATTTTCACTGTATTTGGAAATCTTTTTTTTATCTTGAAAATGATTTCTGTTGTGGACTGTGAATATGTTTACTTGTTTAAGATATGTTTATATTTGTGTGTACAATGATTAAGCAATATTAATTTTTATTGTTACCTCAGCTTTTATAATATTTTTGTTTCTGTTTGCAGGGGATTCATTGTAAAAGCAAACCTTCCAGTGAGTATACATCATTCACATTTTTACTACATTTGTTTTTGAAAGATAAAAATAATTTATTGCAGATAATAAAGCCACTTTCCTGGTGACATCAGATCACTGTCATGACAGGGTGTTTACCACCAGTTTCCTCGTACTAAACATTGGAAATTGGTAGGGTCTGATAAATAATAGGTTAATAATGACTGTGCATTTTTGCTTAATAATTTTCCTTACCATAGTTGGTCATTGGGAGAACTTGCTTAGTCATTTCACATATTTTGATTGCTTCTACTTATTATTATTGCCTACTGTAATAATACAGGCTCTTGAATTACCTGAACTCTGAAGCCTCCATCAATTACTCCTGCAATGCACACAGTCACTTGACAGGGAAGTATGAGGCAGCTGCCTTGCCGGCAGTCCCCTCTGAGAAGACAGTCCTGACTGGAGGCCCAGGCCTGAGCACTGCTTATCTCCACGGTGCCTTTCCTGGATCTGTGTGGCAGAGAGTCCACAGGCAGGGAGAAGCTGCAACGCTGAGCCGCAAGTGTGTGAGATGCTGATGCTGTGGTGTGGGGCGTGAGCCGAACGTCAGCTGTCATGAGTCTTACTCTGAAATCATGACATTTATGGGACACATGTTGAGGAGGAGAGAAAGAACACGGCTGTGGAAGGGATGCAGTTAAAAGTCCCACCTGAAAAAGTCTCTAGTCTTCTGCCAGCGAGCAGAGTGAACCATCGGTGGCTGGTTCAAGGATTGCGAATGAATCTTTTTAGGATTAGGCAGCTGAGCTGCTAGTTACAGAAGAAACAGGGGCGTTAAGCTTTGCTCTGCCTAGCTGAAGCATGCCTTCATGCCCTTGGGCAGCACAGGCTGAGGAAACCAAACCCTTCAACCCTGGTCTTAAAGGGAAGGACACCTGCAATGCTGTTGGTTATGAGTTAATATCTGTGCTGGGTATTACACAAATGCAGATGTAGATAGTGGAGACTCACTACAGGTACCACAAGGTGGTGATTCATTCCACCCAGCTTAGGACAAGGTGATTTATGTGCTGGGAGGGAGGCGAGAGGGGTTCTCTGTCTCTGTTGACCACCAGAGGTGTTTAGATGATGCATACAAGCTTATACTAGATGTTTAGCTCTTAGCTGGATATACTGGAATGACTTTGGGCATTGAAGAGTTTGTAAACTAAAGATTCTTATCTTTCCAGATGATGTACATGAAGCAGAGCTGCTTGTAGGTTTTCAGTGCCGCCTGAAAATGACTTATCAGCTATCTCTAATACAAGTAACATATAGGATGACTCAGCCTTATAGGGGTGATGAAAAAATATTTTTTTAGTCTTCATCCTAATTCACTTGTGCAACAGTGGGTGTATGCTCATTTCCATACTTCCTTTTCTATAGTCATTCTTTTTATTATTTATTATATGAGGTAAAATTACCTTAAAAGACCTTAACTATATAATAGAGCACCTTTGCAGTAGTCATTGCTTTTAGCTCCAACAAAGAGATGACTTTATTTCCTAGAATTTGCAGCTCAGTAGTATTTGGCAACATACCTTTGACTCTGCCTTCTCCCTCCTGCTCTTCTAGACTATTGGTAGTACATAAGGGCTACTGTAGTATTTGAAATTCACTGTAATATATCCAGACATTGATATCAATATAGCAATGATTTTAAAAAAGCCTTACATTCTCAGAAAATGTATTTGGCACAGTATATCACCATGTTGTCCAATATCCTTGAAAGTTTGAAATATTTTCTGAACGTACAACTGTGAAACCCTCCTAATTTACTGTGCTTTGAAATCTGTTGTGAAAGAGAGGCTGTCAGTCTGAAATTTAATCAATTTTATAATTGGTATAAGTATTTTTAAGTAGCAAGTTTTGGTCTTTATTAACTGAAGTGCACCGTATGGTTATCTTAGGAGAGCATATCTAGTTTGTTTATGACTTTTGTTGAATCATCCTAATGCACAGATGCAGCAGATACTGTGATAAATCATATGCAAATAGGTTTGAAATGCCACTGTAATTTATATTCATGGAATGATGCTCCAGTGAAGCAATTTTAGTGTGCTTTAGATATGCTCACAGATTTAGCACTGTCAGTATCCTAAGTAGTTCAGATTCTTACAATTCTTGTAAGGAAGAAATATCAGACAAAAAAAGTTAGGATTTTCTATTGGGGGTTGGCCTGGACCTGTTATTAATGGGTTTTCTCGGCAATTTTTTTTTGCTGTTCTCCAATTTCATCTTCTTGCCTGAGGCTTCAAATTATCCATCTAATCATTTCTATTGCGTATTCATTGCTCAGCTCTGGCTTCTATTATCTAACTGTACATAAGGTGTGTTTTGCTGTCGTGACAGTTCTGGGTTGATTGCTGCATCATCAGATAAAAAAATAATCTGCTGTGGTTGAGCTGATGGCAAAAGTACAAGGAAAGTGTCTACATGCTGAATAATAAGCCTTGGCTTCTTTATGCCTGGGCTTATACGTATCCATAATTAAGGAATCTTTTATTACAGCAACAATCCTTCTCTCATGTAGGGCTAATTACAGTTATAATTCATAAGCATCAAATTTAGGCAAGATTTACTCAGCAGATGGTTTGTGTAGCAAGATGTATCTTTATGTCTTCTGGGGTGTAGATCAAACTACTCATGAGAAAAGGAAAGAGGTGTGTGTTCCAGAGGAAACTATCTGAGGGGGGGGATTAAAAGATGATAAGGTAAGAGTTTACTGAAGAATTAGTCAGAAATGAGTCTCCTACTGTGATGATTTATAGAATGAAAATTATTTTCTGTCAGCTCTTCCTTGTATCATATATTTATTGTGATCCAAAACTAATATCCTCTTGCACGATATGATCCATTTAAATTATTATTAATGAGTTTTGCAGCATCTTTTGCAATTCTCAAAGTGTATCATAAAATTAATGGAAAAAAATCCAAAGTGGAAGAGTAATTTCATTTTATCCAGTGTATTACTTATTTGTTCTCAGTTTGAAGGTAGAAACTGTGATCAAGGAGGACAGTGTCCCTGCTTACAGACAGACAGTAGTGCCTAAAACTGTGTTTGTGCCTCTGCCTGATACTGATCCAATGTCAGTAATGCACCTAGGTATGACTTAGGAATCTCCTGAGATAGTTCCAAGCCTGTGAAATCTGATAATACCATACCTCAGGCAGTAATAATTAAGGACCGAATTAAATTAAGTTATGACAGTCTCTCCTAAAAATAAGTAGGGTCAAATAATAAGGTCAAATTCACCCAAACAGAACACTTTGTAAAGAACTGTCAGCTTTGACAGTGTGTGTATATATATATATATGTTGCTCTTCCCTTAAATAATTTCTACACAGACATGGGACTGGGCAAGATTATAGGCCTGGATCAAGAAATTTACACCAACAATCAGGGAATTAAGCAGAAACAGTTGCTCCTGGATACCATTTGGTATCCACACCTGCATGTCATATGATGCAGTCAAGAAAATATCTTTTTAAGCAAAGAGACAGAGCTAAAACTAATCATCACTTATCACGTTATTAGTAATAATTATCAGGTAGTTCTGCAATATAATAACCTCCCAATTAACTGTGGGTGGATTGATTGGGTGTTGTACAATAACTCTCCGTCCTGAGATACCTTCAGGACTATTACAACACCCATTCTTGGAACACAGAATGTAGTGTTCACATCTGGCTGCTGTGCACTGTACTTCTTAAGGCTGCCTCATCTCTGTGGAAACATGTTTACAAATTCTTCAAAAGTCAATGTACTCCATTGCTCTTAAAGCCTAGTTTGTATATTTTGAATGATCTGTGTTTTTTCTTTGGTTTGCACAAATTGTTTTCTCTCGTTGCCAATATTACCTTGGATAATTGAGAGTTGACTCTACTATCAGTTGAGGTAAAGTGTCCTTGTTTTTCCATTCTTTTCCACTTGGTTCATATCAGCATATCCTGTTGCCTCCAAAAGATGCTTAATGGCACAAAACCAGGATAATGGAGTGGAGATTCAGGTGTGAATCTTTTCTGACTTTTGATAAGTATCACGCAGGACTTATTTCTCCTGATAGCAAGTGTGAGGGCACCTTAAGGCCTGAGAGATTCAAGCTAAGGTACCGCATTTATGTCAGCCTATCTTCATGTCCTGCATGTATCAGTATCTGATCCCTGACAGTGGGCTTCAGCTGCAACTGGACACTGTGAAAGTGAGGATCTCATAATAGAGAAGGAGGTCCTGTACAGGTACACTTTCAGTCTTTAAATTTAGAGCACTTTCCGTCATTGGAGGGGTTGGAGGGGTAAATAAGGATAAGCTTTGCTCTTCCTCCTCCTCCACATCCTACCTTTCCTCTGTGAGAACTGTGGATGTGTCTTCCATGTGAGTCAATGGGCATCCACACTTGACAGCAATTTTTGGCTAGACACTGAGGAATGCGCCCTTTCCTGACAATTTAAGTTAAGACTCTTATCCTGTATTTTATGGCAAGCACAGTATCGTGGCACTGCTGTTTCATACTATGCTCTTCGCCATACTAGTTGAACTCTGTCTAGGAGTATGTTAAGCAGTATGACTAGTAAGAGTCAAATGGTTTTTTGTTCTTCCAGCCTCTCCCTAGGAGGAGGAGAATGTGCAGTAAAATACTTAGTTTTACTTGGGTGTCTTTTAACTTTCATGCTATGTACCGAAGTGAGAAGGGTACAAAGAAATTGCTATGATGTAGTTACAGCTAAAATGAGGTGTGCTGCATTGTATACCACAAAGCCAAGGACAAAACCCAACTCCCTGGCTATTTGTCTGATAGTTTCTTGAAGTCTTAGTTTTTGGGACTACAAACAATGTTTGTGAGCTGGAGAAGTCCAGGGAATGCATTGGGGATTGCATCTGCTGTACCAACGTAAATTCATAAATAAATAACTGATTTCTGTGCAGGGCAGTCTGAGAAGTAGAAAGAGACGAAATATGGCTAACTGATGAGATTTGGGGCCTTAAGACTGTTTTTTTCTTTTACGTTAGCCTACAGAAGGAGGCTGTGCAAAGCAAGGTCCTAAGGCTTTGGGATGACTAAATTTCCATAGGAAAATAAGTTGAGACATAGTAGCTGTGTTCTGTGCCTACTGTTTACACCTTGAAGAAGGCCTGGGTAATATTTATTCTGCTCTTGCTGTTCTGGTCTAAAGCAGAAGGAAATCCTATAGATGTGAGGGATTTTTCCATGACTAGGAATGCAATGGTGCCCTCTTGTGTGAAAGTGATATTTTAACAGCCTTTGAGACCATCGGCCAATCCTAAAATTAGACTACTACCTACGAGAGTGCTCACAATATACAGGTAATGGCTTTGAAAAAAAGTTTAAATAAACTATTAGTCTAGCCACGATCTAGCAGATTGATTATTTAAAAACATTGTTAGTCTAGGCATGCTCTGCTAGCCTTAACTGTTAGAAGTGTGTTTCCTTCCTCTTGTGGGTTAACACTTCCCTAAGCCAGGAAATTTATTATCAAATCCCATCTGTAATGTAGTTCTTTCCATGCCCCCCTGCATTGCTTGTGAAGCCAATGAGCTATGTTGGCCGTGTGAAAGTCTTAGGTAAAGTACTGGCTTTGCTGACGTCAATGGTGACTTTCCTACTGATTTCAGTAGAGCTGGAGCTTCACCTTTGGTGCTTTCTCTCCCCCACATATCCTGTGCACAATGAGGTTTCTCTGTCTTTGTATTTGCATTTGCAGGTGGCATTTTTAACAGCTTCTGCCATGATGCTCCTGCAACTCTATCTTCTACGGTACTGAAAAGCATGAAGATCTCAACAGTGATGAAATGTGTCCAAGGAAGCCCATGCTCTCTTCATTTAAACATTAAAGGAACTCTGAGTCTGGATGGTAGGAAGCAGATTTGCTACTGAATAATTTCTGTTTACTTTTTGTTTATAGCTGCTCAGCCAAATTTTGTTCCATATATTTGTGTCCAAGCTGTTTTCATGTAATTATATCATAAAGATATGTTTTGTGAAACCATTTTACTCCAAACCAAGATAAAGCTGTGGCCCTTCTCAAGGGAATGAGAACTGAGATAATGAATTCAAGACAACTGAATTTTTACTTCCAACATAATACACTTAACTTGTCCTCTACCAGTGCCCCAAGCATACTGCTGCCCTTTTCTTTCTTGCTCTGACATGCATGCACACACACTAATTCTGTCTGCTGTGGTAACTCAGACATGAGTGACTGCCCCAACAGAAGGAGAAACAGTTTATGCGTCTGAAGTTACAATTCTGCACTAAAATAAAATGAAAGCACTCAAAACTTTTTGGGCATAGTCTATTTTTACTAACACCCTGCCATTCATGTGCTTAGTGTGTTACCATTTATATATTTCCTGGTGTGCTTCACTCAGAGTTAATAGGTTTATTTTTTCAATTTGCATAAGAATTTACATAATTCAAGCTTTAATTTATAGCAATCTGTATTAAATCCTTGCTCCTACCCCTGTGTATTATGTATAATGCCCCTTTTTTAACAGAGTTAAAATACATATGCCTTTCACTTAGAAGGAAAGCTTATGATATGGTATGTTTTAATTTATTTTTTGTTTTTCTTAAAGATGCTGAAATTATATTTTTGAAATCTATTCCTAACTCATTTCAGAAAATATCCGTGGGCTGGAAATATGTTCTCTTTCACTGGACACACAGCAATCTCAGTGCACAAATGTGAGATTTGCTAGGAAAAAAAGCAAGATGCTTAATGGAAAGAAGGTAGGCTCCTTTTTTGGGTTGTTTTTAATTTAAATGTTTATGAGCCTTTGGAAGAAAATATATTTTGTATCTCTTATTTTCGTCTCTTATTGACTTTGTGGAAAACTGCAATGAAATGTATGCTGCAGCATTGTCAAATGAAACTCCATAACAAAATGTCCTTTTATAACCTATAAATTCAATTCTCCACCATTTTTGTACTTCTTCCACTTACCTTTTTGCAAGAGAAGCTGCCTCTGCAAAGCCTAATTTTCATATCAATCTTGCTAGCTTTCTTTTTGTGCCCATATGTGCATACATATGATTTATTAAGTCCAACCATGCCCATGGAATTTACACATCTAGAAGACAGCCTAGTGCCTAAGCACCTGTGCACATCTGTCCTAAACTCATCGTAATAATTGCAACAGCAGAGTACAATTTTTTACTCAACTAAACCCAGAAGTATTTGTATTAAGATTTGCAACTGGGAAAAAAAAAGACTCATCCTCGACCAAATGTTTAAAAGACATGAATTTTTGCTTTCAATTACTGGCGGATAACTGTTATTAATCCCATACAAAATGTGTTACTTCATGTGCTTTGTAAATGTTATATTGATTGCACATGTGAAACAATGTTCTTCTCCCAAACTACAATTGCAGTTTATGCTCTATATCACTTGATGATCGAATGTCCCTATAGGCAATGCAGGGCCAGCAATGAACAATTGATAGGTTTTAGTGTAAGGTAAGTTTATAGGCAAGACTCAACAAACATATGTAATGAAATTTTCTTAGTTTCAGTTCAGTGACTAGAATGCTGATGTAAGACGTCTTTTACCCTCCAAATGCCTTGTACCAAATAGGAGTATAACCAACATGAAAACCTATATGGAATTTAATAGTTACTGCTATCAGCGAGGGAATGACCTGCTATACCTGGCCTTCAACTTTTGTCTCCTAAATTACTTTCTCTCTCACAAACTGTTACTGGAATGAATAAATTTGCTGAAGTTGCCATTAAATGTTTAAACAGACATTTTTTTCCTATTCTGCAAGTGTTTGTGCTTGTTAAATGCCTACAAACTGGGACTTTTGGTAGCGTGTAAGACCTTTTTGCTTTTGAAGTTCAATAAGCATTGGGTACCTGTATTTCTATGCTTTTAGAATTATTTGATAGCTTGTAGATATTTGGATTTCTGGAAGTGAAGAAGATAGCAACAGCTATTAGAAGTAGTGATACTTCTAAGTATGGATTAGAAGTAATGATACTCTCTGAAATTCTTTCATTAAGTGGTATCTGCTTCTTTTACATTCTTAATGCTAAAATATCTGAGACTGCTTAATGCTCCTTGTAAATATAAATAAATCTGAACAAAGAATATTGCTTGCTTAACTCTGATAACCAGTGGTTTTCATGTATTCTGGAAGTCACACACAAACTTGATTTTATAAATGTTTTAAACAGGTACAGGTACAATTCAATTGCATTGAAGTCAATGTAGCACAACACATCTATGTGACCATGAAAACAGTACCAAATTACTGTGAAGTCAAGCTGAGTCAGGAATACTATGTTGAAGGTAGGAAAACATCTTAAACCAGATGTTTTTCAAGAAACATCTTTTCAAAGAAAAAAGCCAAACCAAACCAAAAAACCCCAAATGCAAAGCCAAATCACATTCTGGGATACACTGATCTAACTGATGGTAGATCGTGTATGCCAGGACCAGTCTTATTCTATGTTTCAATGATTTATTTTGTGCATATAAATGTCTGACTTGCTGTAAAAAACAGAGACCAGAGTTTATATCTAAAAGGACATGGAAAACTGAACTACACTATGCATTTGTCCTAATTGGCCTTCTTGTGATTGGCATGTGCTCTTTCTCTGCCTGCAGGTTCAGTCCTGTGTGCTCTCTGTGCATAAGATGGAGCCTCTGCTTCTTGTCATAGTTAGGCCACAGGTGGTTTGAGAGATTGAGGAAAGCTTAACAAGAAAGTGTAAAGAAATTTCTTTTTACTTTCATTAGCTCGCTGTTCTATCACCTGTTTTCATGTAACTGGATAAGATAAGGTAGTATTTTTCCATATGTTTGGCATAAAATGCCTACCATATGCATATAAAAATAGATTCAGCACTGTGGTCCAACCAAGATACAGTGTGGCTAGTGAAGACAAGCGCACCAAATGGTGGTGCAAAAAATGAAAGGAGACCCCTTGTTCGGTCTGGTGCCTGGGCTTGTCCTGCCTTCCTATCGCCAGGGCCTGTGGGTGGGCAGCTCTTGCCCTTGCCCCTTGGTACAGTATCAACCCTTGCACGCAGTATCAGACACATTATGGCTGTTTCACACTTTCATAGAAGTAAAACCTTTTTGTACTTAAAAAGCCTTTCATTTTCTTGATAAATGCCGATTCACTATTGAAGTAGATATGTACTTTGTGAATAAAGAGGGGGGGAAATAAGGTTTCATAAAGCCCCGTTTTAAAACACTTTACAAGGGTGAGTAAACAAATGAAAGTAGGAAATATTACTCTGGGGAAAAGAACTGTGTGGGGAAATGAGAGCAAAGTGCTGCTCTAATACTGAGTTAAGCAAGGAGAGGTGAAAACAGTAGGCAGCACATTATGAGCTGATTTAGTGTTCTTAAATCAAGATTTAAGTTTTGGAGATACCAATATTAGATATTAGTTCTGAAAGTGTCGCCTGGCCTCTAATTCTGGTAAGCTCCCTGGGAGCTAAATAGGGTGTTTCTTTGTAAACCTAGAGTAGAGTCAGAATAGCAAAGATACACAGTTGTTTATAACAGAGGAATAAGCCTGGTAAACAACAGGGGTAGCTTTCAAGGAAAGAATAACTGAAATAATAATAATAATAATAATAATAATAATAATAATAATAATAATAATTTTGTTAGGTACTAGGTAAAGAAGTGCAGTGTTATATCGTAGATTGCCACCTTAAACTGCTGATGAGGTTTTCCAGTAAAAACCCCACACTGGTGAGATAGCTCCTTAAGGCAAGTTGTGATATAATCTCTGTGTGTGGTAAGGGTACTTTTCTTTTTTGCTGTTTATCTAGAAGTGGATGTAAATCTGCCTTTAAAAAGGGGTATAAGAGATAGGTTTCCTGTTGGGAAGCTATTGGATAATTTGGCAGTTTATTTACACAGTTATACAAATAAAGCAGCACTGAAGAAAACTCTGGCTTCTGTTTTGCAGATTGCAGAAACAGTGATGTGGGAAAATATATTTCAGCTTGTTCGGGTGAGCTGATCTTCTATACAACTTAAAGCTGTGAGATATTTCTGGTGACCTATACAATGATATGTTTTCATAGCTAAATAAGCAGGGAAAAAAATGATGATTTACAACTACCACTACTTATAATTGCCACATAGTTGATGATAGATAATGTCCTGAAAATGTGTTTCTTTATATTGACTTGGAAATGCTAGATAGCAGATAAAGATATCGACAACCTATTTAATACTTAAACTTTTGGAAATAGGTTTGCGTCCTTTTCACGCACTTCATTGCTGGTTTTATATTTTGTCTATAGACAGACCTCACAAATAGATTGAAATTAATTTACCAAACTGCTATCCTGATGTTGGCATAGCCATGAATATAAAAATAACGAAACGTCCCCCTACATATTGTGTTTGTCTAAAATAGTCATACATATTCTCTATGTAATGAAATTGGAACCTTGGGATAATCAGCTTTTGTAGTAGTATTTGTATATTTCAAGTATTTGTACATGAACTACATAACATTTCAAGTACTACGGTTGAGATACAATTGGTAGGTGTCCTGGCCTCTCAGTATTGCCAGTGCTAATTTAAAACTGAATAATATTGAAATTTATTCTCATGAAAGTTATTATATCTCATAAAATAAGAATACTTTTAGGAATATCAAGATATAAAAAGAATTAATTCAAACATCCTTGGTAAGAATCTATAGATATTGAATTTCATCTCCATCAAGTTATGAAATATATTCTGTACTTTTTATAAAGAAATAACAAAATCAGAAATAACAAAGTAATAAAGAAACAGATGTGATAATTTCATGCTTCAATTTTCTTTTTCAGCTGGAAAGTTTGATTATAATGTAGACAGGGCAAGGAAAATTATATCAGTGAATGTATCCAACTTTCTTCGAGATCAAGATTATTACGTTCGCCTGTGCCACAAATGGTTTACCTGTGAAGATGCAGGGGCATTTGCTGTGGTGAGTGAAAGCTCAAAGCAGTTTGTTGAACTGGTGGGGGGTGACTTGTAGGTGGAAATGTTCACTGAGGTCATAGTTACAGGAAATGCCCTTCTATATCTTTATTTAGCTTTATTAAAAGTCATTTACTGTCCTGGATTAATGACCATCTTTTTCATTTCAGATAAAAGGGAAGGAATCTTTAAAATCAGTTTCTCTGAAATATTCTCAGCTACTCCCTTGTCTTTGCATTGAGGTAATACAGTCTGGAATTTGGTATATGCTTCTGTTTCTGATTAAAGAAATTTTATCTGGGATCTGTGCTAAGAAAGGAGGAAAAATCTGTAGAAAAAGGCTCTAGACCTAAGTTTTTTACTAAGGCTTTTCTGACCTTATGATTATGTAAATGTAGAAGAGATTTTTTAGGAAACACTAATTAAAACATGAAGATAGAAGAAGATGGGATACAATTTACATTAATTTATGGAAAGTACTGTGTAAGATTAATTTGACTGATTTTTTATAAGCAATGAAAAGACAGAAAATTTAATCTGACTGAATTTCAGCATAGCATTTGATGTAGTATTGCATGAGAAACTAAAAGAGGAATTGAGGAAGCTGGGAGTGAGAACAAGATTTGTATGGTAGATAATACCTAGCTGGAGGGCTAACTCGACTACTCCTGTTAAATGGGGCTCTGCTAGTAGGAAGGTTATTTAAGGACCACACTTCCAGCAGTTCTTATCTAAGTGTTTTCATCAATGACATGGGCACAAAAGGTGGGAACGTGTTAATGAGATTTGCTGATAATACAGTTGAGAGGTGTAATAAAAATGGAAGAGGGACAGGATAATTGGAAGATACTAGAGATCTTCACACATGAAATAACTAAAGGCAGATGAAGTGCAAGTTCATGCACTTGCTCTAATAAAAAGAATTCTTGCTGTAAGATGCGAGCCCTCATTTAGAAATAACAGTGGAGAAAAAAAGATCTGGGTGTAATAGTTCATCGCAGGATGATTAAACTAACATGCTTACATGATATAAACGTGAACAAAGGTCTAGTGGGTTTGATTATTCCAAGCTAACAGGAAAGTATGGGCAAGGCCTTCTTTGAAATACTGTAGGTAATTCTTGTATCCATATTCAAGAAAGATTAATTCAAATGGAAGGTGTGCATAAAAAATCTAGAATGGTTGGGGAATGGAGAGACTGTCTTATAAAGGAGATTCAAAGAACATGTTTTCATTAGCCTGGTAAAACACATGCAAAGAGAAAATATGTTTGTTGTTTAAATACACATCAGAAGGGTCACTTATAAGGAAAAAAAGCCATTCTTGCCATAAGAATGAAGGCTTCATTCCATGAATATATTCAGGATAGTTACAGATTTTTTTCTGATAATCTGAGAAGTGAGATTTTGGAATATCTTTCGTAAAAGGAATAAAAAGTCACTAAACCAATTTAAAATGATCTTGGTAAGATATAAAGATACTATGTGACCTAGTTTCTCAGTGAATTTTGGGGTAGGGTTTACCTTGCAGAGTAAGATACCTAAATGTAGATGTCCAGATGTAGATATCTACATTTGAATTAGATGTCCAAACTCTTATAGTTAATGGAGATCTAGTTAATGCAGTCATTACTCAACTGGCCAAATGTAGATGGCTATTTTGGCATGTGCTGGGTAGCACTGTAGACTCCACTGGCTTCATTGGCTAGATCTTCATATGGCTACTGTAATAGTTATTTGGGCACTTTAGTCACACTCAGATGTATACGTTGTAGGCACCTAAAATCACATACCTTAATATGCAAGTTAAACCACAAGGTCTCTTCCAAGCCTAGGGATTTTTTTTTTATTGCACTCTGAAAGGTATGAGGTCACTGGAAAAATATTATTCCTCTCAGCATATACACAGAGAATTCCACAATACAATTACTGAGCAAACAGATGGGAACTGTGAGTAATAGAAACATTTGCACATGAATCTAAATTATTAGGGTATAGTAACAGCCATGCACATATACTTGCAGATTGGGTTAAGCGTTAGTCCTCAGATTTTAAGGATACATCCTTTACCATAACAAAGGCCAGGAGATCTGATATTATGATTCTTGAATGCCTTTTGATATCCCTAGAAAGTAATGACACTGTAAGAAACTTAATGAAAATCAAACTGGAAGAATTTCTAAATGAAATTGGGCTAAATATGTGACTCAGAAATAGTAGGAATATAGTGCTAGAAGGAATCACCTTAGTTCATCAGCTCCAATCCCCCTAATGATGAACAATAAAATAGATATCTCGTGCAAAACATCCTTTAAAAAAAACTACTTCCAAAGCTTTCTAATAAACATAGCATCTTTATCTTTAGTGGAAAGGTTGTCTGTCACATTCTGTCTGAAATGTTAAAAACCGGTGTATCTGAGAATCTCTAGCTAATGGCCACTTTTTGGGTTGTAGGGTTGGCTGGCAATTCCAGATGCAAGGAGGATACAACTTTGCCCCTTTGAAAATGGCAAGTATTGTGTGATTACTCTTTATATGAGTGATTTTCAGCAGCTCCCGTAGTATGTCACAATTTGAAATTCATCTAAGGTGAAAACCATACATTGCAAGACTTCAAGGACATCATCATATTGGTTTCTTATACTGTGGGTAAATGAAATAACTTACTTTCAGACCAAATTGTTCACCAAGTTTATGCCAATATAAACACTAAGTAACTTTCTAGTAATTTCCCACATTTTCTTAAGTCACACACAAACTGGCCAGAAGGAAGAAAAGCCACTGAGGTCAGCTTTGAAATGCTGATGTGAGCAGAGGGCTTCAAGGAGAGATTTGAAGAAGGTGTCTGACACACAACTTAAAGGAGGGAACAGGGAGTTGATAGAGAAGACAGTTAACTGCATATGGGAGTTCCCATACTTAATGGGAAATTATTCACACAAAGTGTTCCAGCAAAGTCAGAGTTTGGTCTGAGATGACAGCTGGAAAAGAAATTGTCTTTAGTGAAAGCTTTACCAGGCAGATAGAAAAAAGCATAGCCTGAAAAAGTTTTTTATTGTGTTCAGTCCAACATAAGTACAAGAATATTTTTTCTCCAGACTATGCTAAGAAGCCCATTAAGGGATTTTAGTATTTGATTAAAAAAAAAAAAAGAGAGAATAAAAACACCAACCCATAACAGTGCATCCAAACTCCATTAAACTGCATAGACATTCATTGCAATCCCTTCACATTCTTTCAGGGCTGATACGTTTGTGTTAAAATGGAAGCAATTTCTTTTTTAGTTAGCCCAGCCTTCATTTCTGGTTTATTTTATTGTGGCAGAATATAGTGTTTGTGACACTACCATTCCTTTGTAGCAATGGAGTGCAGTTTGACTAAATAAAAAGGGTATTTTTTTTTTTCTTTATTTATGCAATAGAGAGCACTTACAGGAATAGTCAAGCTCTGTCTGTAGCTATGTCTATGTCATGTAGTCAGATCTGGCTTTAAGGTCACCAAAGCAAAGCCTGTTTGCCATCTGCAGTATGAAATCCTAGCCTCTATTCTTACTAGCTGTTCAGCCTGAGGCTGGGTCTCATGGGGCACAGGTTGTTTTCTTCCAAATGTTCTCCTATCTCTACCTGTTTCCTGTGCTTGGAATGGTTATGCTTTGCAAGTGCAGGAAATTGGGCTCATGAATCGCATGATTCCTTCCTTCCTTCTGTATTCTGCTTCTTTTCCTTCCCCTCCTACTGCAGTCATTCTCCTCTCTGACGCCATTGAATCAGAACTATGGGGATAGCTGAAGCGTAGGTTACAAAGCTTTACGTAGTCAGAGGAAAGGCAGTATATGCCTTGGCACATTGAAGCTCTTGAAGCTTATTTCTGTCCATTTAGGAAGTTCCAATGGACAATTACAATTGAAAACTTAACTTATAGCTTTGATAAGGAAGTGAATATGCAAAATACTGTTTTGCAGCTATACTTTTCCTTTACTCAGCTATCCTCCTTGCAGGAATCTCAAGCAATTTTTCAGACTCTAGCACCCAGCTATTTAAGTATATAAGGAGTTCCAGCTTTTGAGCCACATTGTTTTCTTTTTAAATCCTTCTTTTTCATAACTGACAGGGCTGTTTGCTGGAATATCTAAAGCAGATGGGTTCTTTTTTTTGCTCACTTATCATTGATGTAATAAAGTTGGGATTATAGATTTAGTTCTGTGGTAGGAGGTAATTAACAACTGTGTATCAGAAAGAAGCTTCTCTATGTAATAACTCTTTTGGGTTAATGTAACTAAGAGAAGGAAAAAAGGAAAAAATAATGTCTATTGGTTACTAAAAAATGTTATTATATGAGACTGAAGATGAATGAGCATCTTTATTATGATGTAAATAAGTACATGCCACAAGGGAATAAAACAGAAGAAAACTCAGGTAATAAGTCAATGAGCAGGCCTGGAAACAAACCCGAGAAGTCTTAATTGTGGTGCTATTCTCTTAATTATTAGGATTACACTTACATTATATCTACATTATTACAGACTCCTATAACATTCAAAACGTAGCTGTGAAAACTGTCAGAACTGTTGGGACTCAGGGCTTTGCGGTCAGGTTAAATATTCTCTAAACATTAGCTTTATAGTACATGTCCATTTATTAAAAACTGCACTTTTTAAAAAGAATAAAAATGTCCAGCATTTTTTTAAAACAGAATAAAAATTTCCACTTCATAGAAAGTTTCAGTATTTTGATGTACACACATTGGGACACAAAGTTAAGACAGGAAGAGGCTTGGCAGAATTAAAAGATCTGGAAGGTTTCTATTAGAAAATATCAAAAGGTTTGATTTCAGGACATTTCTGAGAGAAGCAATACCAATAGGAATTGTTGTTATGCTTGATGGGAGTTGAATTTGGGCACCTGGTGTTTCCACTCTTTTATGTAGACTGTGCTTCTTCACTTTGCCACATTTTCTAGTGATGGGTATTGTTTGTTCACTCCTCTTGAACATCCAGCTGGCCACATTTTCAAGTTTTTGCTTCAGAAATAGTTGCAGAAATGTAATTTTTTTCCTACTTCTTACTATTAGGCAAATGTAAAACTTTTCAAATTACTTCTTGAAGTATGAACTGAAATATCAGTTTGAATTTCTTGCTGGAAATTCTTTCATCCACATGCAGCTAAATGGAAAAGAAAGTCAGTACGAAGTGACTACTTTGACCAATCAAATAAATAAGAGAGCTTTTATTTTATAATAGTGCCTATTTAAGATATCCCCAAATATATGTTGACTAGCTCTGAAATTACGGTGTGCCCAGTATACATAGAAAGAAGATTTATATAAATGCTGTAGAAAAATTATTTATTGTGAATTACTTGCACAGCTTTGTTTATGATTGGAGTTCTTGATACTCGGCTAAAGGCTTGAATTTATCTTCTTACATTGATTTTGTGTGCATGTAAGTCCTACACAAGACACACACAGTCTGAGTCTCCAATACCACGACCTCTAGTCACTAATGTATGGATCCATTCCAATTTATCATACACAGTTAACTGAAGGTCCTTGGTTAGCAATTTACTTGTGTTACACTCCCCTTGTGATTGATGGGCAGAGAATGCTCTTCCAGTGCAGCCGACTTAAGAACCGAGGCGTCATTCCCTGGTGATGCCTATCTATCACCCTAGTGGGAGACTGGTAAGACTAAGCTCTCAGGTTAGGTACCTCTGGTAAACGCCAGCACTTTGGTGGGATGAATTCAAGTTTTACACTGTTACAATGTGAAACGCTGCAGTTCTGATTGGTGAAAATGACAAGGAAATGGAAAAGCAATGCTTTTGGTTTTAAGCACAGATTTATGAACAATTTTGATTCATTTTTAGACATCTTGAATAATGTTTCGACTCTTTGTGCACAGATACGAAGGTGCTATGGGATAATATTGTTTACAACCCAGTGACACAAACCCTAGCTTGGGAACCAGCCTGTCCTGTGCTTGTCATGGTTAACCTATGCAGGTTAATGAAGTCTAACGACCACTGTGAAGATATACAAAACTCTTCCAAAAATTCTCCTGAGAAAGTAAGAGCTATGCAGATTTATTCAAACTGTGAGATTGAAGGCCATGACCAAAGGCATAATGTGAAAAGCTAGGTTTGGGAATAAAAGCACTTGCAAATTCCTCTCTTCTCTGATACTTAAAACTATTCATAATCACAGTCTGTTCTTGTACACTAACCGCATGATTTATTCAAAGAGCTCATGTTGACTGACTCACTATTAAGAAATAAAAAGTGGAGATGACTGTGAAGCTAGTAATGTTTGCTAAATTATTTGGTGTAAATAGGGTCTGCTTTTCATTTATAGTAAAGGCATGATTCATCTGCCCTGACTTTGCTGTCTAAAAAATAGGTGTTTAAGTCTATGCTATTCATCTCAGATTGCCTTTAAAGTAAGTAAATGAAACAGAGATATTGAGAGGACAACTCTTCTCATCTGAAGATAGGCATGTAAGAAAGGTCGGAAGGATTTCTCCTGAAGGTACCTCTTTCTCTTCACTGACTATATGACAAGAGTCTATTGTGATTAGATCACATTTGGATATTTAACATTTAAACACCTAAAACGTAAGTGAGGTGAAGGTAAATCTCTTTCAATCTTACTGGAGACATAACGGTACCTTGGTCAGGCATGATTGTTTTGTACTCTATTCAGATCTCTTTGAAGTGCCTTCCTCAAACTGGTCCAATGTCTTGAAATTGTGGGTGTTGAAATATTGGGTTCCTCAGTTCTTCTAGCCCTTATGTTCTAAAGTTGAAAAGAGTTTTCATTGCATGTATCTTGAACTGCTTAATGCTTCAATCTGAAGTCTTATGGTGCTGAATGCACTGGATTTATGAGGTTGGTTAGAATTCTGGCTTTCATCTTGAAAAGTAGGTTTCAGGCTTTCCTGATTGTGGAGAGAAGCCAGTAAACTTGAGGTAACAACTGAAAAGGCAAATAAAATCAAATACAAATTCTTAATTTTTGAAACTTTATGAGTATTATTCTGATGACATGACTGGGGGGGACTGACTCAAGACTGTTGAATGTTCTTTTGATTAGGAACTCCTGGCCAAGTGTTTAGTGATTGTTCAGATTCACCATTTCATGGGTTTCAACAAAGCCTTGATCTTGCAAAACCAAATATATTTAATTTTATATATCTGAGTGGTCCCTGCAGGATTCATCATCTGCTGACAACAAGCACAACTCCTTGCTTGCAGGAAAGAAAAAGAAAAGAAAAAAAAAAAGGAAAAAAAAAAAAAAGAAAGAAGCCTAAAATGAGGTTTGGCTGTTAATGGTCATATCTATTACCCAGAACACAATCCAAGATTAGTTTATTACAGATGATGAATGTTTTTCTGTATTTATTAATATTCATGGACAGGATGAATTTTCCCTTTTTTTCTAATTCATCCTAAAAGGTTTGATATTGAATTTGGTCCATTTCTTGTAGTGTAAACCTGAAGGACATCTCTATAGTGTGCTGGAGACTGCGGCAGAGATTCCTCACATAGTGCCAACTCCCCCAGTAAATTCTCACAATGCTGCACACTCTAATACCATGCACATGTACTGACTTAGGCCCAAAAGCTACATAACTCTTCTCTCTGATTAGGGTGGGGCTTTCTCTGTCAGTGGCAATGCTGTCTCTATATCTGAGTGGACTCTTACAGAACTATCTTCTGTGATCCTATTGTAGACATACCTGAGCGCATCCATTATGTTCTCAAAAAAGTTACAGGAAAGAGGTGTTACTTTGGTCATGATGCCATGTGTTGTGTGTAGGATCCATTGTGCTCAGTCACTTGAGCAATGGTGTTTATTTAAGTAAGATCACTTACATGGGTAGTAATTGATTACATGAAACAAAGCTTTTTATGCTGAAGTCCTTGGGTAAACAGCTGTTAATCAAGAAAGCAACATTTTGTAGGTCACTTAAGTGGATGTCTAAAATTCAGTCTACCTTTAAGTCTTTTCTGGAATAGGGATATGGAAAATTGAAAAATCTCTGAACTGAAGGTGGAATAACACTTTTGGGTATATGTTTAAATGTTCTGCTGAGTTGTTGATGAGTGGTAAATAAGGGTCTGAAACCAGAAGACTGTGTAATCAGAATTTTGCACACGAGCCACCATAGAATCAATTAATTTAGCTCTAATGGGTCAGACTGACTATAAAAAATGCTACATGTTACAGATAAGAAGAAGGAAATTATTCAGTAATCCAAAGTAGTGGTTGTTTCTATTCTTACTATTTTATGTGATTAACTTCCTAGAATGCATATAAAGTAAACAAACCAGTTCCTTTCTCAGTAATCAAACTATGAAAATTTTGGGTAATTGATTTTGTGAAATTAGTTAATGAAACTAGCTAATTCTGAGTGATCTCTTTTCAAGCAGGTTAAATATTCTCGTGTGGACACTCACCCAAGACTTTGCATGAAGGTAAAGGGATTTCTTTGTAAAACACCTATTAACTGCCCTCTTTCTGTCAGCTCTAAAAAAATGGGTTGCTAATGTTCTTTAGGATCAGTGTTTTGTTTCATAGCTCTGATGAATGGGAAGTAAGAATGAAAGAAATCTGAAAGGTTAGATTAAAAGGAGGTTCTTTGGAAGTGCAGCAGCAATGATAGGACACAGGTCAGATTGTGTCCTCTGTTTTCTCTGCTTAAGAAAAGCAGGGAAAAAATGTTTTAGGTCAATGCAAACTCTGAAGAATGCACTAAACTTAACGTATAAAGTTTTCCACATTAAATATTTGGTAATAAAAATGATTGATACCCTACATTTACTGGAGTAGCTTTTTTTTATTCTAGTTGAGAAAAGAATGCCACATAAGGTTAATATAGGCATATTATTGTTTTCTTTTAGATTACTTTTAAGTCAGCGGAACTACATGTTTCTGTAAAATAAGCATGTACATAAATATCTGAAGAATTGAGGGACCTAATTTAAGTCAAGGGTTGGAAGATACCATAGACCAGGAAAGCTGTGAATTCACCTTCTGCAACTTTCTGGAATACACTGATCATCTCTAGTTCAATCTGTAGCCACAGATTGAAATTGAAAAATCAGTTTTCCTAACAGATTTCTCTGCTTTCAGTTTACAACAAAGCAAGGCTTTTGGGTTAAATGTCCGTTTGCTCGTGGAGACTTTCCAGGTAAATGTATTTTTTTAATTACATAATATTGTGAAAAATATTTAAATCAGTCACTAGATATGAGCCTTCTCCAGTAAGCGAGATGTGTTCACATCACTGTAGCTTGTAAATTATGGCAAAGAGATTTGTCAGCTTGCTACTTCTATGTATCCCCAGTAGATCAAGCGTTTATCAGTATAAAAAGTAACTTGTGGGAATCAAAATAATTACTTGCATAACATTTGACGGCACTTAAGTAATTAAAAAGACATTTATTTTAAATATAACAATTTAGAATATAATATATGGTCCTTGCACATCTAAAAGTAAGTCTTTTCCTCTAATATCAGCTTGGAAAATGAGAACTGCTGCAGTTGCAGAACAAATACAAGTTTTCTTCACATCCCAAACCAAGGCACAGTTCTCAGTGCTTGTGTGTAACAGGACGCAGCTGGCCTCGTGTGAATCCGTTGGGATGCACCATTCAGTCTCTGTGGTTTGTATATATTATTTCTTAAACATTGTAAGACTTTTAAACGTATCTAACTGCATTCATTTATTATTCCATTTATCGCTCTGCAGCTTGAAAGCATTAATAAACCCATGCATGTACATATTGGAACAATTACTGGAACATTTTTAAGGCATGTAGTTCTAATTCTGATCTCACACTGAAGCAAGAAATAAATAAGGATCCTGAAGTCAAATGAGTCACATCAAAGGAAGTGACTATTGAGTGGAACCTTAATATTCTTTTAACATCATTTTTGTGGTGTAGTATTTCTATTATGTGTATAGCAAATGTTAGTGTTAGTATTTCATATATGGGTCACTGAGACAGCTGGCCTAGCAAATCTCACATCATGACATGTAAGACTTGAGGCATAAATCCATGGTAATCTTGAGCCACTCTAAATCTCACAGCTGCCAAAACAAACTCAACACACAGAAAAGGTACGTTTTCAGCCAAATTACCTTTTTGAGCCGGCTGACTGTGTGAATATACAACTGCTTCTTCCAGCAAAGTGGGGGAGAGAGGGAAAAGATTATGGGAGGGTGAGATTTCTGTTTCAGGCAGCAGCTAGTCATGAAATGGGAGCCTCATTCCTCTCTTGCAATTAAGCCTGTATCTCATACATTTTCAGTGCAGCACTGTGGCTTGCCCTTGCCCTTCAACCCTGCCTACCAGAGTTACCTTGTTGGCCTGACCTGTGATCTACTGAGAGGTACATCTGGAAAGTGGGGTCAAAGAGCAGAAGAGTGGCCATAGCATTATTTTTCAAACAGGAGAATATTAGCAGGATAGGTCCTAGGA